ATAGATGTTTGGATTGTGATAAGAGTTGTATGGGCCCCCAATAAAATGATTTAAAAAAAACAAAAACAGCGGCCATCTAGCAGAGAAGCAACAAGCCCACCTGGAAGCAGCACACCAGCCTGTGTGATCATGAGGTGTCGACAGAATCAGATAATAGGTACCAAAAGACCCAAGACAAACAAAAAAAACATATTGTTGAGAAGGAGGGGGTCCAGAACAGAAACCCAAAACAATGGGACATTGCCTCACAGAAGGGTCACAAGAAGGGATGAGTCAGCCAGGGCACAGGATAGCACCAATGAAACAGACAAGATTCCTCTGGCTCTTTGAGGCTTCCTCACCCCCCACTAGCATGACCCCAGTCCTGCCTTTCAGTTCTGGCTAGACCGGAGCATGTACACTGGTACAGATAAGAGCTCACAACACAGAATCCAGGTCAGATAAACCCCTCAATAACAGAATTGGGAGTAGCGATACCAGGAGGGTAGGGGGAAGGTGGGGGAAGGAGGAGAGGAAGGGAAACCTGATAGCAATGATGGATGCATACCCCCCACCCTCAGGGGAATGAACAGCAGAAATGTGGGTAAAAGGAGACAGTGGTCAGTGTAAGACATGAAAACAATAATAATGAGAGAATAATGAAAGTGTTTAAAAATCATAATAATAATAAATAGCGGGGGGAGTGACCTGCATGGAAAGGGAGAATTCTAGTGCTGACTCACCAAGGCCCTCGACTAAAACAAGAATCCTAGAAAAAGAAGGTAAACTGAGCATCTCCCTAAGGTCTAAGGAGTCGTTGGTAAGACTGGGAACCACTCTCCAGGGGTCACTCAGGTCTTACTTCTCCCCACCTGTTATCCTAAGATTCATGTGTGTATTTCCACTCCATTCAAAGTTGCTCTCTTTGCCGTTTAAATAAAGAAGAAGAAAAGACCAAGTTGCTCCTTCACTCCAGATCACTCACTGCTCTTGAGCTGAGTCTGACTTAGCAACCCCACAGGACAGGGTAGAACTGCCCCGGTGTGTGTCCGAGACTGGAACTCTTGACGGGAGCCAAAGCCGCCTCTTTCTCCCGATGAGCAGCTGGTGGTTGCAAACTGCTAACCTTCCAACACGTAACCATTAAGCCACCGCGGCTCCCACCAAGATGGTTGTCGTTGTTAGGTGCGGTTGCGTCAGTTCCGACTCACAGCGACCCCTGTGCACAACAGAAGGAAACACTGCCTGGTCCTGTGCCGTCCTCACGACTGTTCTCGTTTGAGCCCCTTGCTGTAACCACAATGTCAATCCATCTTGTTGTCCCTCTGCTTTACCAAACATGTGTCCTCCTCTAGGGACTAGTCTCTCCTGACAACATGTCCAATGAAGGTGAGGCGAAATCTTGGCCGCTAAAGAGCATTCTGGCTGCAATTCTGCCAAGCCAGGTTTTGGTTCTTTTGGCAGTCTGTGGTGCTTTCGCTGTTCTTCGCCAGCACCAAAATTCAAGTGCACTGATTCTTCTTCAGCCTTCCTTATCCAAAGTCCAGCTTTCACAGGCAAATGAGGCAACTGCAAATACCATGGCTTGTGCCAGGAGTACCTTAGTTCTCAAAGTCACCTGCCTGCTTTTTTTTTTTTTTTTTTTTTTAAAACATTTTATTAGGGGCTCATACAACTGTTATCCCAATCCATACACACATCAATTGTGTAAAGCGTATTTGTACATCATTTCTCAAAACATTTTCTCTCCATTTAAACCCCCGACATTAGGTCCTCATTTTTCCCCTCCCTCCCCGCTCCCCTCTCCCACATGAGCCCTTGATAGTTTATAAATGGGTATTTTGTCATATCTTGCCCTGTCCGACTTCTCCCTTCACCCACTTTTCCACCTGCCTGCTTTTAAAGAGGTCTTGTGCAGCAGATTCATGTGGGGGGAGGTCAGATGCGTAGACATTCCCCCTCCTGAGGGCAATCAGTTGCCAGACTGCTGTCTCAGCCCTCCACAGGGCTGGGCCTGCTCCCTGCCTCTGGGGACAATGGACAGGCTCCTGTAGGCGGGGCGGAGTTTTCACCCTACTCATAATGGTTCCTATGGAGGCCCAGAGACCACTCCCTAGACCACGCCCTCATTGATAGTGTAACCCCTTCCTGTGACGTATGTCTTTACCTGTAATTGGTGGGTGTGCACACCCCCAAAGGGATATAGGCGTGGGTCAGCGAGAGAGACTCTCACCTTGCTGCTCACTCCCTGGTCACTCCCCTCTCTTCCCCCTCTCCTCCCCTCTCCCTTGTTCCCGTGCCCTCCTCCCCTTCCCCCTCTCTCCACGTGGACCGCCAAGCTGGGCTGAGGTGAGCAATGCTACCATGTAATGTGTCTGACTGCATTATTGTAATATCTCTCATGCTCTTGATGACTTTAATATAATACTTATATATCTCAACTGTACAATTGTGCCTTACTGAACCCATGGGTAGTGGTAGTACTAGCGGGTGGGGGCTGGCCCCTCACCCCCCTTCGCCATTTTAATTTAATACTACAGAGTAATGAAATGTGTCGTTTGATTTCTTGACTGCTGCTTCTGTGAGCATTCATTGACTGCAGGTCAAAGCAAACTTAACTCTTTGACAACTTCAGTCTCTTCTCCACTTATCAGGATGCTACCTACTGGTCCAGTTGGGAGGGTTTTGATCTTGACATTGAGATTACTCTCCCCCAAATTTGCTACTACAGCAATGACTACTGTTTATAAGACACTTCACAGGGATTTTAACCTTTTAAGTGCAAAGAGGGTAATAGTTTTATTACATTGACAAATTGGAAACAATCTAATAGTCACCAAGAGAGGGCCGGCCAGATGTCGTACAGCTGTATAATAAAACAAAACCCAAAAACCTCACAGCTGTTGAGTTGACGCCAACTCATAGTGACCCTATAGGCTAGGGTAGAACTGCCCTGTGAGTTTCCAAGACTGTAACTCGATATGGGAAGAGAAAGGCCTGTCTTCGCCTAAAGAGCAGATGGTGGTTTTGAACTGCTGATCTTGTGGTTAGCAAGATCATGTAGCCCAACATGTAACTACTGCACCACAAGGGCTCCTTCGCTGTATAGGACAAACCTTAATAAACTTTTTTTAAAGGTTTTTCAAAAAACAAACCAATTCACTGCCATTGAATGGATTTTACAACATTTTTTTCCTCTGTACTCACTGTTTTCGTGTAAATTTGTTTCCCATTTTGGCAAAAATATACACAATGAAACATTCACCAATTCAACAACTTCTATCTGTACAATTCAGCGCCATTGGTTATACACTTCATGTTGTACAACCCTTATTGTTATCTCTCCAAACTGTTCCACCACCATGGACATGAACTCAACAGACCCCAAGCAATAACTCCTCCTCCTTCACCGTGGTAGCGAGGTCAAGTTTGAAGACTGTAAATCTTTACAGGAGTAGAAAGCCTCATCTGTCTCCTGTAGGAGTGGCAGGTAGTTTTGAACTGCTGACCTTGAGGTTAGCAACACACACACACACACACAAGACTAGAAAGAACTATACCAACATGCCATAGAGGTTATCTCTAGGTTATGATTGTGATTTTTTTTCTTTTTGTATTTTCCAAGTCTTTAACAATATCCATTTCTTATTGTCTAACAAGCACAGGAGCCCTGGTAGTGTAGTGGTTGCTTACACATTGGGCTGCTAACAGGTCAGCATTTCAAAACCTCCAGTTCAGGGAGAAAGATGAGGATTTCCAGTCCTGTGATGAGTGACAGTCTCTGAATCCCACCAGGGCAGTTCCACCCTGTCCTGTAGGTTCCCTGTGAGTTGGAATTGACTCGAGGGCAGTGAATTTGAGTTGCACCAAGAACAAAGTTCACGTAATTCATTTCAAATGATTGTCAACACACAAGCATTTACCTCTTCAACCTACAGAGACTTCACCAAACTGACAACAGGGGCATGAACAACACAGTAATGATGCCTTTCTAAGGAAATGAAGAGGGCCTGCTCCAGAACAACTATCTCCATTTCCACATTATAGTTTTCAAAGTGTTTCCCCCAAATGTGGTTCCACCTCTGCTTCCTAACAGCACTGGGAGGCAGATTATTGCATTGTTTGGCTACATTTGGAAAACAATGACAAAGAGAGCAACTCAATTTTCCAGGATCATGTCACTCTCCAATGACAGGAAGACAGACCCTAACCCCCATGACACAGTCTCATGTGTTCCCATACATTTACTCTGACCTTGGCTAGTGGCAGAATGGAACTCAGTACAGAAAGAAGTAATCCCTTAAGACAACAGCAGTGGGAACAAGAGATCTAAGAGATCTAAAACTGATGGCGAGGAGGGTGTAGAACACCTGGTGGGGTGTGATCAAGTGCAATGTAGCCGAGAGGAATTGCTGAGAGGTGAATGAAGGTCCAACATGATGGTGGAAGAGGAGGAAAGTAAAAGGAGATAAAGGAAAGAACTAGGATGCAAAAGACATTTACAGAGGCATAAATATAGGCACGTATATATGTAAATATATTAATATATAATGATAGGGATATAGATCTATGTATATATTTATTGGTTAACTATCAAGATAGCAGATGGGCAATGGGCCTCTACTCAAGTCCTCCTCAATGCAAGAACACTTTGTTCTAATAACTTGGTATTCTGTGATACTCACCTTCCCGACACGATCGCTGAAGATAAAATGGGTACATAAGCAAGTGTGGTGAGGAAAGTTGATGGTGCCTGGCTATCAGAACATATAGTGTCTGAGGTCTTAAGGCTTGAAGTCAAACAAGTGGCCATCTAGCAGGGAAGCAACAAAGCCCACATGGAAGAAGCACACCAGCCTGTATGATTACCAGGTGTGGGATCAGGTATCAGAAGACTCAAAACAATCATATGGATGCAAAAGAGGGTGGTCAGAGTGGAGACTCAAAGTCCATCTGTAGACAATTGGACATCCCGCTCACAGAAGGGTCACAAGGAAAGGACGAGCCAGCCAGGGTGCAGCATAGCAGGGACAAAACACAAAACATTCCCCTAGTTCTTTAATGCTTCCTCCCTCCCTGCACCCCTCCCACTACCATGACCCCAGTTCTACCTTACAAATCTGGCTAGACCTGAGCATGTACACTGGTACAGATAAGAGCTCTCGATACATGGAATCTAGGACATATAAACCCCTCAGGAACAATAGTGGGAGTAGCGATACCATGAGGTAGGGGGAAGATGGGGGGAGAAGGGGAGAAAGGAGGAACTGATCACAGTGATCGACATATAACCTCCCTCTCCAGGGGGACGAACAACAGAAACATGGGTGAAGGGAGACAGCAGATTGTGTAAGATATGAAAATAATAATTTTTAATTTATCAAGGGTTCACAAGGGTGGTGGGGTGGGGAGGGAGGTAGGGAAAAAAGTTGATAACAAGGGCTCAAGCAGAAAGATATTTTGAAAATGATGATGGCAAGCCATGTACAAATGTGCTTGATACAACTGATGTATGGATTGTTATAAGAGCTGTAAGAGCCCCCAATAAAATGAATTTTTTTAAAAAACAGCAAAAAAATCCTACCCCATAAAGTTTTGTGTGTCCTGATTTCTTCGGGCAAGTCAAGGCTAGCATAGACGTCACTGAAATATAGCTCTCCTCCATGCTGAAACAGACAGTCCAAGGCCAAACGAAGTTAAAAAGATTGCTTCAGAGCAAAGGAAGGGATAGAAAATTGAAACCAAAGGGTGGCAGGGGGTACTTAAGCGGAATCTCTTTATTATTATTTTTATTGTGAATTGGGAGGGGGGCTTACATGTCAGATCACCATTTTGGTAATCAACAATTTAAATAATTTATCAAACCTCTCAATAGCTGTTCCCCATCATCCCACCCCCCTTTCCTCCCTTGTAGAATAATACAATGTAACTCTCACCTTAGGCAGCACCTTTAGCCTATTGCTTCCCCTTCCTGCCTTCCCTCCCTGACCCTCCTGCCTGGGGCAACACATCCGAGTCTGTTTCTTCTGCTATGAAAAACCTTTCTCTTGGTTTTTTCCCCTTCCTTTTAGAACAGTGGTCTCATTTTTTGAAAACAGTGGTGATTGACTAACTTCACTCAGCATTAGGTCCCCTACATCCATGCAGGTCAGGAGGTGGTTCACAGTCTCATTCTTATTCTTTAATAGCGCATAATATGCCACTGTGGGCAGGCCCCAAGGCTTATCTATCCATTCTTTCACTGATGGGCATTGAGGTTATTTCCATCTCCTTGCGATTGTGAAGAGTGCAGCAGGGAACATGGATCCGCATAGAGCGATTCACGCAACTGAGCTTCCTCCTTTCTTTAGGGTCTAGACCAGACAAAAGGATTGCTGGCTCTTATGCTATTGCTATTCCAAATTGTTTGAGGAAGGGCCACACTGCTTTCCACAGGGGTTGTTCTGTTTCACAGGTGCACCAGCAGTGTACGAAAGGATCCAATCTCTTAAAAATAACAACAACAATAACAAAGTAAAGCAGATTAAAAAAAGCAATAAAAAAAGTAGAAAATATTAAAAACTAGAATAAATTCAAGATGAATCAAAAGGGAGAGCAAATGATAAGATGTTGACTTTTAACCTAACTGCATCCGCAATGTCCGACTTTCCAGTGTGTTCTGCCTGCTCACAAGACTATTCACATCCCTGCTCCATGGTCGGAGGGGCTCACTACAAGCTTAATTCACATGCATGTCTTCCTCACTGTTTTAAAAACTGGAAATACTTTAAAATGGGTCAGAAGGAAGATCAAATGATAAAATATTACATTTTTAACCCAACTGCATCTGCTATCATTGGTTTTACAATGTTCTCTGTCTGATAACAGGGCTATTCACTTCCCTCCACTATGATCAGAAGAGATTCAATGGAGGCTTGGTCCACGCGTGGGCCTCACAAACGGATTTTGAGCTTCCACTGTCATCTGTAACTTTCTGCACACCAGGTGTTTGCAATGTAAGCTCTAATACCATTCCCTCCTTCTGATTTGGCTTTTATTATTCACAATCCCTGACTCACACAGGCTGGTGTGCTTCTCCCATGTGGACTTAGTGGACGCCTCACTTGGATGGATGCTTGTTTAAAGACAAGCCTTTAAAACTCCAGATGCTACCACTTCTGATAGCCAGGCACCATCTAGTTTCTTCACCACACTTTGCTATACCACCCGTATCTTCAGTGATCTCTTCATTAGGGTGAGCATGAAGCAGACCCACGGCATAAGAATTCGTCTTGGACTGGGGCTAGAAATATGTGCAAGCCCTAAAACTATTCATCTATCTGTGGTTTAGTTCATACACGTCTCTCTGGCTTACCTTTGAGGCATCGTTGTCATTTTATATCAGAGAACGTTATCAATTATCCCCCTGGGGCACTGGCTGTCTTCTTTGGTGAACTGTCGGTTCATGTCCTCTGCTCATTTTTCAATTGGATTATTCATCTTTTTCTTGTTGCAGTGTTGCAGTTCTTCATATAGTTTCAAGATTAACCTCCTGTCCAATATCTCATTGCCAAATGCTTTTTCTCCCGATCTGTGGGTCCTCTGTTTACTTTTTCGAGCAAGTATGTTGATGCACATACGTGTCTTGTTTTTAGGAGGTTCCAGCCATCTTTTTGGTCTTCTGTTATGGGTGTGTGTGTGTGTGTGTGTGTGTTACATTTGGTCGTGTGTTTATGCCAGGTATTAGCACCCTGAAGCGTGTCCCTATTTTCTCATTCGTGATCTTTATGGTTCTAGGGTTTACACTTAGGAGGTCTTTATTCCATTTTCAGTTCATTTTTGTATATGGAGTGAGGTATGGGTCCTGTTTCAGTCTTCTGCAGATGTAAAGCCAGTTTGGCTTGCACCACTTGCTGAAGAGACTACCACTTTCCTATTTAATGCATTTCAGCCCTTTGTCACAAAGCAGTTGTCTCTAGGTGCATGGATCTATTTCTGGGTTCTCTACTCAGTTTCATTGGTCTATCCACAGTACCGCTCCATCAGGACCGGGCTGTTTGGACCACCGTGACTGTGCAGTCGGTTTTGAGGTTGGCAAGGAAGTGGCCTCTTTGTCCTTCTTCTTAAGTAGTGCTTTCCTTCTCCTGGGTCTCTTTTCTCTATATATAAAATTAGTGAGTAGTTTTTCCACGTCTTTAAAGAAAGATGCTGGGATCTAGACTGGAATTATGTTCTATTTATAGATTTAAGCTAAACCTTTGTTAGCAAATAACAGCCAACTAGCTATCTCACTTGTCAGTCTGTTTACAATCAATAGCCAAGTGCCAAGAATTTTTGTTGTCTAGTTCCTTACCCAATAGGGAGTGAAAAAGACTGAAAAGAGTGTCTTTTTCATAGTAAAGATATTCGGGTGGTTGTATACTTAACAGATGTAAACAGATATTCATAAACTCCTATCTCTTAAACATTATCTGAAGGAATTGTGGGTGATTTCCCCCCAATACCACACCATTTCTTCCAAAATTGTTTGTACGCTTGTTGCAATCAGGAAAATATACATCTCAAGATGCGCATGAAAAATATCGCGCTGCTGCTGGTTTTCCTATCAGAGAAGGGATTAAAGCTCATCTTCTTTAACTTCCCAATCATCTGGAACCCTGGCAGCTAAGAAGTAACCCTGGAAAATACTGTGGCTACTAGGAGAGGTTATTCATAGCAACCTTTGGTAGTCTGTCCAAAGTTTCCTGCAGCTTTGCAGGAGCCAGTGTAGTAGCCTGTGCACCAATACCCAGGAGACATGAATGCCAACAAGGCAAACATTTTAACGTGTCCAGTAACGGTGCTAACTCTCAGGCTTGTTATCTTTTGCCACCTGAGAAGGAAAAGAACCACCTTTAGGGTGTTCCTGTCATGTAAACACCCTTTTTTGACCGTTCTTTTTAATTTAGTGGGTAAATTAAAAGTGTTTGGGCTCTCAGCTCAAAGAGGCAAGAACAGGACAGATCCCATCACCCCTCACTAATGATTAACAAGATTTAAAGATCACTTGAATTGCACTTGCCCTCACCTTTAGCACTCGATACACCTCCTGCAGCACTTGTTGTTTGTCAGGAACAAGGTTAATAACACAATTTGATCTGGAAAAAAACAGATGGAATGTCAAACCAGTCTGCAGACAACTCCAATAATTGTAGAGTTGATTTGGACATAAGGTGGTCCCCCGTGTGTCAGAGCAGATGGAGTCTTCAATGGCTGGTTGTTCAAGAAGTAGATTGCTTGGCTTGGCTTAATTTTTAAAGTGCCTATGAGAGGACCTGAACTTCTGATCTTCAGGTGAACAGCTAAGCTCATTAATGAATGCATAACGCAGGGGGTGAACACACTACCAGCTCTTCAAATGCTTTGATCCCTCCCCCCACCATGTTTTGCAGTTACACTACCCAAAGGGTAGTGTGTTTTCCAGGACTCACTTTCCCAAAGGTAAAGACGTCTTCAAATCTCAACACATTTTAGCAAGTTTGAGGGTTGGGGGGGAAACTGAGGCTTGATTTTTATTTGCTTTTTGCCAGCAACAAGATGCATCCCTGAGAGACGGGGAGGTGGGGAAAAGGTAGTGATGTTAAGAAACCCAGGGACAAGGGAACAAGTGTTCCAAATCGGTGGTGAGGAGGGTGTAGGAGGCATGGTAGGGTGTGACCCAGGGTAATGTAACCGAAAGGAATTACTGAAACCCAAATGAAGGCTGAGCATGATAGTGGGACAAGAGGAAAGT